ACAGTCCCTCACGGCTTCCGTTGGCTAGGGGAGGGAGTTCTCTGACCCCTTATGCTTCCTGGGTGAGGCAATGCCCCACCCTGTTTCTGCTCACCCTCTGTGGGCTGCACCCACTGTCTAACAAGTCCCAGTGAGATGAGCCGGGTACCTCAGCTGGAAATGCAGAAATCACTGGCCTTCTGCGTTGGTCTTACTAAGAGCTGCAGACCAGAGCTCTTCCTATTCCGCCATCTCGCCAGCCACCAGAGGTTTCTTTTGTTTGTTTTGTTTTGAGACAGTCTCAGTCTGTCACCCAGGCTGGAGTGCAGTGGCGCGATCTCAGCTCACTGCAACCTCTGTCTCCTAGCTTCAAGCGATTCTCCTGCCTCAGCCTCCTGAGTAGCTGGGATTACAGGAGTGTGCCACCACACCTGGCTAATTTTTGCATTTTTAGTAGAGATGGGGTTTCGCTGTGTTGGCCAGGCTGGTCTCAAACTCCTGATCTCAGGTGATCCACCCACCTCGGCCTCCCAAAGTGTTGGGATTACAGGCGTGAGCCACCACACCTGGCCACACAGTTTTATATAAGCAGAATCACAGTAGTCAATGGCAATTCCATTTTTCCAGTTGCTCAGTTGAACCTTGGTCTCATCCTCAGATTTCCTTTTACTCACATGCTTCAAATCCAATTTCTCACAAACCCTGTTGGTTCTGCCTTCAAAGTATTTCCGATTCGGACCCACTTTTCATCAGCCTCTCTGGTACTTCACCATAGCCTCTCATCAGAATCATTGCCACTGTCTCCATCTGTATTCACTATTGTCCCTGTAGTCCATTTTCCATACCATATAGTCATCAGAGTGACCCTGTTAAAATCTAAGACATATCTTTTTTTTTTTGCTTAAACCTTCTAATGGTTTCCTACCTCACTCACAGTAAAAGTCCTGACAGGGGCCTTCAAAATCTACATGACCTGGTCCCCTTAGTACCTCTCTGACTTTTATTTTTCACTACTCTCCCCTCTGTCATCTGACACCAGCCACATTGCCTTCCTTCCTGTTTCTCATTTACCGCAAGCTCCTGCCTCAGGGCCTTTGTACTGAGATGTCTGCCTAGAAAGCTCTTTCCTTTTCCTTAAGCTGTGTCCCCCACTAACTTTGGATTTCTGTTCAAATGACGTATTATTAAAGATGCTATGCCTGACAACCCTATCTAAAATAGTACTCCCAACCTACGCAGTCTAGCATTCTCTATCCTCTTACCTTGCTTTATTTTTCTTCATAACACTTATCACCACTTAATATATAGTTCTTTGTCTATTTGTTTATTTTCTTCCTGGAATATATTAGGCACACAATGAATATTTGAATGAATATTGATTAAATGGGTATCAAACATTCCTGTGCTCTTAATCAGTCATCTGACTTCCCTGCCTCCCACAGTTTGGGGTAAGGGATAGGCTTTTCTGGAAAAACAAGCAGGCCCTGTCTCTGATCCTCCAACCCGGCAGAGTATGCCAGGGCTAGGTGCTGTGGCTGTGGCCACTTTTCCTTCTTGTAGGGCAAGCATATTAGGTCAGTAGGATTAAAGAGTGGGGCAAATGGGCTTCTTGGGCATAAGGAAGTCAAGGTTTAGATGTGAGCTGTTTAGAGGAGTTGTTTGGAAAAGCCGTCTGCCCTGCAGCTAGTGACTACTGTCCCCATCACAGAAAAGAGAATGCTATTCTTTTTGTAAGAGTCTGAGTTTGAGTGTGGTCCCTTCCTGCTGGGAGAAAGGGGAGCCCTGGTTCCACATATCTCATCTGGGCAACCCAGAGTGAAGCCTGGGGTTACTTTCAGAAGGTTCTGCTTGTCACACCACAGTTAACAAGGCATGTTCCTGTGAGAAGGGGCAGGGACACTACCCCTTTTGTACAGCACAAAACTCACTTGTATCCATCTAGACGTGTATCTTCTGACCCCATTCTCCCTATCACACAATAGCCAACAGCACACACATTGCTCTGCTGTCAGCTGCAGAGTGAAGACCAAGAAAGTGATCTGGGATAGCAGATGGACTCAGACTAAGTGAGAAACAGTTGAGCAGGTAGGACTTGTATTGGTCAAGATCACAGCTTGTCTCAAGCCAAAAATATAGATAGATTGGGTAGGGCTCATAAAAAACAGACCCGCAGAGTCATAACTAGGCTAGAGTCCAAGATGACAGCCCGACATAGTCTACCATCAGGGCAGACCTTAGCTCTGAAGGCAGGTGGAAAGCCCTGGCCCACACAAGGGATGTTTTAAAGGAAGCTTGGTTATGAGAGCTCCAGTTGGAGCAAAGAGGCCTTTGTAGTCTGTGACTGAAATCTTCAAAGAGAACCCCCATGTGGAGATCCCCCAAACCTTGCTCCTAGATATTGGCATACTTTATTTGAATTCTGAAAAGGATATCACAAAGATTTCTGGATATAAAATATCCTGATTTCATGGCAGGGATATAGGAGGGAGGGTATGATTATATGATTTTATATGAACCTAGTTGACATTTAATGACATTACTTATTTAACTTTGTCAGTATTGATCAAGGCCATGTAGGATTCTCTATTCAAAGGAATTCTGTGATTAACTTGTTAAATTTTATTATTTACCCTAAATGTTTGCTTTTGAGAATCGAGGGATTTTTGTCTGACTCACACACTGTCTCTGTTGTTCAGTATGTATATATTTCAAATTAGATAAAATCATCCAAAATAATGATTTTGCTTTCATAAATAGACTCATATTAAATTTATGAGTATGATATATTCATTTTAATATTTAGTAATGTATCTGTTTCCACATCTATGTTCAAATTGTTTATAACCTTTATATATATCATATATCAGAATTTCACTATAATCACTCTGCTACACTTCTATGCTGAATCTTTTCTTTCTTCTTTCGTTTTTTTTCATGAATACCTTGTAGAAAAAAGCATGCCTACTCGACAGCACTTTAGGTGGTACTGTTTTCTGAATGATGAGGAAAAAAGGGATTTAGGGTCACATGGTCTGATATGTTTGGACCCTGCCCTACACTGTATTCTCAGTAGTCGAAATATTACAGTTCAGTATCTCAGAACATTTTCCATAGGGGAGGAAGGGCTATTTCAGTAGTCTTTCAGTGAAGAATTACAAAGATGGGCTATAGAAAAATCATATTTTATAATACTATACCTTAAATGAGTTCTAAGTTCAGTGAAATTTCATTGTAACACAAGTTCAGCTAAAACTTGGTCTGTGGGTGGCAGGATCAGACACACAATTCACAGTAAGTTTCCAGTACATTTCATTTATATGCATATTAATCACTGGAGACAAGCATGTAAACTTATTTTCCTTTTTGGTATTCAACAGAGACCAGTAAAAGATAGTTATCCCAAATGCTTTTCACTTGGTGTTAATTTACAAAATGTTGCTGAGAGTGAAGATGAAGAGTTTATGGAAGAATTCATTTTGGCAGATTTACTCAAAGTAAAAGCTGCTGACTATGAAGATGATCAAGAACAAATAAAAAAACAGAAGGCAAATATTTTTGTACCAAGTAGTTCTCCAGGTAACATTCTTTTCCAGTAAAATATTCAAGTCATTAATGAATTATGTTATGGAATAATAGCTTTTCTGTATGCTGGATAAATAAAAAGTACTGATCTAAAATTATAGTAACTTTTCTATATTTGTTTTTCATGACTTCCCTGAATTAAGGGAACTGATTAAGAGAACTCATTCTTCATTGAAAAAATATACATATATATATGTAGAGAGAGAAAGAGAAAGTGAGAGAGAGGCTTTCTGCTAGACTTTAGTAGTAGGGTGTAATTATAGTCGTTTGTACTACTTATTTGGTCAATATCCATTTAATATTTTGGACTTTAAAGTAATATCTAAGTTTTATTGTTACTAAGTGGTCAACCAGCGCAAACTGCCAAAAGATATGATGCCACGTATTTTAGAAGATGAAGGATTCTATATTCAGAGAAAGCCAGAAATATATAAAAAGACCTGCAACAAAATGGAAAATCGCCTGCTTAAACTAGAAGAGGCAAGTGCACCAGCTAACAAGTTAAAACACTGACTAGTATGTGACTTATTTAGCAAAATCTTTAATTACTATACTTAAATATTTTTGATAGGGAAAATGTTGGTTTGGAGAGACTGGAGAAATAATGTCATTACCTACACCTATTAAACAGTCATGGAATTTCAGACTAAACGTAAGGAAGGAACCTTTAAATCCGTTACTTAAGACCGTATACAGGAAGGTAACCAACAACAATTTATTTGTAATTATGGTTAAAATTCTTGTAAAATCAATTATATCTGGTGGTTTTGTGGTGATGATTTATCCTTTAAAGATACTAAGTCTACTAATATAATATCTAAATCATGATGAAATGTTAAATAGCCCTTAAAATTATAGTTTCAAGGAATATTCAATGATATGGGGAAATATCCAAAATAAAATCTGAAGTGAAAAAAGCAGAATGCAAAATTATGTATGATGCTAATTTTACAAAAATAATGAATAAATGAATGATACTCAAGGTAACCACTATTGTAACTTCTACCACTATACATTACTCTTGTCTGTTAGTTTTACCTGTTTTATATAAATGAAATAATAGAATAGGTACTCTATATTGTTGTGTACAGCAATAGCTTGTTCATTTCTGTTGCTGTATAGAACTCCATAGTATGAAAAATACATTTATTTATTTATTAACCATTCTTTTATTGATGGATATAAGTTACATCCAGTTTTTGGCTATTACTAATAACACTACCATGAAAATTTGTACCTCTGCTGATAACTGTATGCATATGCATTTTCTGTTGGGTAAATATCTCAGAGTAGAAATGCTGGGTTATAGTTTTGTATATGTTTAGTTTTACTATATAGTGCCAAATGGTTTTCTGAAGTGGTTGTACCAAACTATACACAAACTAAGAAGTGTGTGAGAGTTTCAGCTGCTTTGTATTCCTATCAACATTTGGTATATCTGTCTTTTAAATCACAGCCATTCTGGTGTACATAAGATGTATTTCATTGAAGTTTTAATCTGCATTTCCCTAATGACTAATGAAACTGAACACCTTTTCATGTCCGTTGGCTATTAGGACAGCCTCTTCTATGAAAGCTTGGTTAAGACTTTTAACCATTTTTTTCTTATTGGATTGTCTGCTTTTTCTTATTGATGTGTTGATTTCTGGATATGAGCCCTCATATAATCTACTCTATGGCTAATCTTCTGACTGTCTATTTTAGTCCATTCTCACACTGCTGTAAAGAAATACCTGA